TAATAAAACTGGCACCCACAGCGCTTTGGCAGGCTGCAAGAGTTGAGGCAGACGGTATCCAACTGAAGCAAGGCCCTGCCAACAGTGGCTGGCACAGAGGGGACAATTCAATCAGTCACCTACAGCCACCGACTTTATTAACTATTTACCTGAGGCATCCAAGGCAACACCAAACCAAGTCTCCATTCAGAGTAGACCCGACTCTACTGTCAATGTCATTCCCGCCACATGTTCCACCGCTGCCGCCCCCCCCCCGGGGGGCTGAGCAAACACCCCACTTCCCGGGGAGCCCCTGAGCTGGCCCAGCAGTGGGCACTCCTGTCTCCTTCCTCACCCACATTCAAGCATCCTTCACTCCGCTGCGATCCAGCCTCTGACTCAGAAAAGGGTTGTTGTTGTTTTATTTGGGGGGCGGGGGTTCCCCCTTCTTTTTGGGTCAAATCCAGCAATGCTTAGCAGTTACTCCCAGCTCCACAATCAGGAATGACATCCTGATGGGATGCCGGGGATCGAACCCGGGTGGGCTGTGTGCACGGCAAACGCCCTACCCGCTGCACTATCGCTCCAGCCTCAAAGTGGGTTTTTTAAGAAGCATTTGCCATTCACGACAGCATGAAGATGCACAATGCAGCAGGGGACAAGAAGAACCCCATTCCCTTCCCTTCGGTTTGGTTTTCCTTGGGAACAGCTGTCCCACCGTGGCGACCGGGGCTGAAGGCTTCCCCCTGCAGCCGCACTTCTCACACACTGCACGGTGGTGGGGCTTGGTGGGCATCAGACTGGGCATCACACGCTGGCAGCGCCGTGGAGATGGCACTCGGGATGAGGGCAGGTGTAGGGGGTCGCGCTTGCGACCTCCCCACTGCAAGGCAGGGAGGGGCTCTCTCTGCCACCGAGCCACACACTGGGCCCAAAGGTAGAAAGGAAAAGGACTCCTAAACGGAGCTGTTTTCTTTTCAAACAAACCAGGAAAAAAATGACAACTAGAAGTTTGGGGATCTATGTTGTTAGGAAGATATCTGGAGAGGACGCCCAGGAGCAGAGAAAGCAAGTATACATCCTTAGAAAGTGAGGGGGGGAAAAAACCAAGGCATCTTATCCACAGAGTGTGAAACTCAAATGTAAAGATATCAGCTCTCCCCAAAATAATCAAAAGACTCAGTGGACACAATGAAAATCACAATACCATTCCTTGTTAACTTTAAAAATTAGTATTATATATACACATGTATGTTTATGTGTATGCCTGTGTGTGTTTATACAAAAGTCAAGTCAATAGGAGATAAAAAAAAAAAAGCCATCCCCAGCACCACCAGAGGTGACCCCCAAACACATTCCTCCTTCATTGCACTACCACATGTGGTCCTCCAAAAAGAAGTGAAATCCAAAATTTCAAAACCAAATGAAGGTGTTAACAGATGAAAATTGATCCTCATTTTAAATATGTGCTAATACCATACAGAATAAACACCAGAATAAAGAAACTGGTGGAACCAAATAAATAGCCCAGGGACCGACAAATATCTGAAACAATCAATATTTGAGAGAGCAAGGAAGGGGGAAATATTTTATAAAGATAATAGGTGATGTTGGAAAAAACTGGGCATCTTAATAGAACAATATGGAATAAACCAGTATCATGTTCCCCCTTGAAAATATCAACTCCAGGGCTGCTGTGCTAGTCCAGCAGGGAGAGCATCTGCCTTGCACGCAGCCGACCCAGGTTCAATTCCCAGCATCCCATATGGTCCCCCAAGCACCACCAGGAGTAACTCCTGAGTGCAGAGCCAGGAGTCACCCCTGAGCATTGCCAGGTGTGATCAAAAAACCCAATAAAAAAAAATCAACTGACATGAACTATAGACCTAAATATAAGAGACTTTTAGAATTTTGAATAATCTCTCTCATTACTCCACCGCCCCTTCCCTTCACTATTGCTGAAGTTGTAATAAACCAGAAGCCACATGTATGAATGCACCAGTGCGCTCTCTCTCTCTCTCTCTCTCTTCCTCTCTCTCTCTCTCTCTCTCTCTCTCTCTCTCTCTCATATCCTTGGCTGTGGGGCTCACACACAATTTTTACACCGGTGCACATACTAAACATGATATCACTGAAGTTTCTACACCTCTTTTAAAATGTGTTGCTCAGATGCATGCTCTCAGAGAAAAAAGAAACATCTAGAATAATCTGAGCACAGATCAAAAGCAAAGAATGATCAATTTTAAACCGCCTTTTTCTCTTCCTCACCAGATGCCAGTGGAGAAAGCAACAAGATAAGCCATAATTTATGTTCACAGCCCGTGTTAAGAAGCTAAGGATTAGTACACAGAACATGCATTGTGTGGTCCCACAATAAAACGATAAATCCAAAAAGCCTTTAGACAGAGAAAAAGATCCCCGATATCATTAGCAACCATAGAAATGCAAATCAAATCACTATGAGATAGTGTCTCCACCAGCAGGTTAGGCCAAGTTTTGGAAGTCTGACCGTATCTGATACTGCCAGGGAGAGAAGGACCACAGGCTTTCACTACTAAGAACACGGACAAAAAAGAGTTAACTAGAGTGTGAATACACATGGGGTCCCTGTGACTGTCACTCATCTCCGAGGTACAGACCCTAAAGTGATTCTTTCACACAGGCCCCCGAAAAGATGAGTGAAATCCTTATTCCAGCAACGCTCATGAAAGCGCAACGCTAGGAAAACCCCGAGGGGTGTAACAATAACAAAATGGACAAGTTGGCACATGTTCGTTCAGGGAAATGCTGTGAAGGTGGAGATCATTCTGGAGCAGCAGCCCAGAGACACCTGTGTGGCCAGGTGAACACAGGAAGACGAGGTGCTTGCTGGCCTTGTATACCACCGACCCTTGTCTTCGTTCCGGGTACCAGAGGGACCCCTAGGTACCCACAGGGGTCACCCCTAAGCACAGAGCCAGGAGTAGACACTGAACACGGTCAAACATGCCCCCCACCCCGAAATAATACTACTAATAAAATTAAAACATTACAGCTACCGAGAGTATTCGATATGCCAGACACAGTAACAACAAAGTCTCCAATGGAGATGTTACTGGGCCCGCTCGAGCAAATCGATGATCAACGGGAGGGCCTTTACTTTACTTTACTTTACTCTAAAGATGTGCATCAAATCACAGAGCACAACAATAAAGCCTACGATGAGAAAATTAAGCACGCTATTTTGAAATACAAACAATAGGTGGCAACTTTATCAAAAGTAAAGGCATTACCTTCTAGAAGAACTTCCTGGGGTAAGATTGAAAGAGGCAAATAAGCTCCAATTCTGATGCTGGGGGGAGGAGGGGCTGACTATTATTCCAATTGCACGCATTTCATAAACCCCGTGTATGCATGTTATACTTCCCAAAGAGAGACAGGGGAAAAGTTTGAGGGTGAAGTTAGGAAGAAAAGAATCTTTAGGATCTGGCTGAGAAGACACGAAGCCAGAAGGGTAGGGGCGGAAAGGAACAGGGAGAACGGACCTGAGGATCAGTGAAAAGGGACCCATGGGGTTGGCAGGTGGAAACACACAGGAAGAGGAAGTAACTTCTAGAAAGCAGCGGTTCCTAAGAAGCCTGGTGGGATGAAACTCAACTCCATGAAAAGTGGAAACTTGTTTAACTCTAATTTGAGGGAACAAAGCAAGAAGCAAGGACTCACATGTCCACCTCTACCCAACAAACTAAACCCTTGGCAACATGGGTGTTATTCGTGTCTAAAACAGCTCCAGTGGGCAGGGGAAAAGGGGCAGGATGGCTTCCAGTGTCTCACCAAGTACAGACCAGACTTCCCAAGAAAGGAACAGCAGGTAATACTCAACCAACATTCAAATCTCCTATCAGCGAACATCACAAGCATTCAAATCATTTCTTTACAAAACTCCACATTCAAATTTCGGCCCCCGTGTTCATTCTTAAGCAGCTCAATTCAAAACAGTGTAATCATCTTGAAAGTCGGGCTCAAAGCGTTTTCTCAGTTTGTACTGAACATTTACATTAGGAGTCTTTTAAAAGCTAATTTCCGGGGGGGAGGGGGGGGTGCATGCCATACAGGGTGTGTAGGGATGGGGGAAGGCTGGGACAATTGATGGTGGGAAAAGCACACTGGTGGTGAAGAAGGGACAGGTGTTGGCACATTATATATGACTGAAATCCAATCGTGAACAACTTTGTGGAAGTGCATCTCACAGTGAGTCAATAAAAAATTTGCACTGTAGCATCGATTTGCTTGAGCGGGCACCAGGAACATCTCACAACAAATTGTGAGACTTGTTGTTACTGTGTTTGGCATATCGAATACATCGCGAGTAGCTTGCCAGGCTTCATGGTGCGGACAAGATACTCTCCGTGGAGAGAACAAAAGGGAATGCCCTGCCACAGAGGCAGGGTGGGATAGGGGGAGATGGCGGGTGGGAAGAATACTGGGATCCGTGGTGGTGGGAAATGGGCACTGGTGGAGGGATGGGTATTTGATCAATGTATAACTAAAACCCAAGCACAAAAATTTGTAAGTCTGCAACTGTACCTCATGATGTCTCACTAATAATAATTTTAAAAAAAAGTTATAAGAGAAACAAATTAAAATAAACATGTTAAAAAAAAAAAAAGATACTCTCGGTAGCTTGCCGGGCTCTCCAGGAGGGGTAGAGGAATCGAACCAGGTCAGCCGCGTGCAAGGCAAAAGCCCTACCCGCTGTGCTATCGCTCTAGCCCAATAAAAAATTAAAAATAAAAAATAATAAAAAAACTGAAAAAAGGGGATTGTGCATCATGATCAAATGGGATCTATTCCAGAAATGCAATTAGTTTAATAACCAGTTGTAATAACATATTAAACCACTAGAATAAAGAATAAATCTACATGAAAATCTCAATAAATGCCAATAAATTTAAAAATTAATGAAATTAAATCGAATTTCCTGAAATTGATTGTTACTTTCTTTAGGGGAAAACAGTAAAAAAACAGTAGCTTCCACTTACTTAATCGAATTCCGAAAGTGGTCTTCGGCAGGGTTTTTCACGGTACAGCTATTCAGAAGCCATAAGTCTGCGTCGGATGCGTTCTCTATTGAAAAATGAAAACATCAAATGAGAAGTCAAGATTACATTCAGTTATTCTGAGATACTCAAAAGACGCTGATGCTCGGCTGGGGAGGTCCAAGGGACTCACAGTTAGGATACGTTTATACTAACGCAGGCGACAGCTCAAATACAGGAACGTTCACGAGACAGCAACATAAGGATGCATAACACTATGCATATGCAAGGAGAATAGCATTTTCTCTCGAGAATACTTGGGAGGATTTATTAATACTAAAAATCAGAGGGAAAATGGCCTGTTCTTACCCCCTCTAAAGAGGAAACAGTCGCTGTCTTTTAGGCTGTGTTTTAGCCATTTTCCTGGTGCGTTTACCATTAGACGCTCAGTGGGTTTAGACTGTTTGCTTTGGGGAGTGGCACCTGGACCGGCCTAGCAGCACTCAAGGGACCACATGGTGCCGGGGACCGAACTGGCACCACACACAATCAAAAAATAGATTTCGGTGATGCCAACAGACGGGGCAGTTGGGGCCACCCCCAGTGGTGCTCAGGGGTGACTCCTGGCTCCATATCCTAGAGTCACACCTAGGGGTGCTCCAGGCACCATGAGGCACCAGAAAACCCCCGTGCAAAGCACGTGCTCCAGCCCCTTGCTGGATCAGCGTGCCCTCAGCTCACTCCCAAATATTGAATTTTGAAAGACAAAGGCGAAAGACAAACAGCCTATTATACAGATAAGAAAAAGTCAGAGATAACCATTAGAGTGTGCTAAAAATAAATAAAAAAAATAAGGAGACTACAGACTTATAACAAAGAAAATGTTCAAGCCAGAACCATCTGTGCCAGGTGTCCACTTTGTATCCTGCCTGGCACAAACATCTGTTCCATCACCTGGAAGTCATGAGAGCACACAGAGCATTCGAAAACAACAGGACGGGCCAAAGGCCTGCCAGCAATGGGCAGGGCACGGGATCACCCTCTGGAATTCTGCCAGAGCACACAGGAGTTTCTCCCCCAATTTCTTCTGAACACAACTGACTCGGGGTCAGGACATCTTTCTTCACCTGGTCAAAACTTCACTCAACGTAGAAGCATGAACCGACACCCTCCGTGCACAGAGGGTCTGCTCCGTGCCAGGCTGCGGTTCTCGACTCTGGGGGACCGGCCCTGAAGAGCTGCCCACAGGGGCTGACTGTCTGGAGGATGGGGAAAGACCTAGGGAACAACAGAGGTTCACTTCCAGTAGCAGCAAGGAAGAGAGAGACCATGGAGGAGGAGGAGGAGGAGGAGGAGGAGGAGGAGGAGGAGGAGGAGGATGGGAAGGTGCCAGGAACAGTGCCACGGTCAAAGCACCGGCCGTGCCAGAAGGAAGTCACGGCTGGAGCCTGGTGCCACCCACAGGGGCCAAGCAAGATCTCGGACGCTTTTTTCTTTGGAAGACTCGGCACAGAGACAGAACATGCGATCTCCGACAGATCCAGTTTGTGCTCTGCAGCTGAAGTGTGTGAGCCCGGGGAACACCGGGGCCGAGAGCAACGTGCACCAGGACCAAGGAGACGAGTACCAGGGCTGAGGGAACAAGCACTGGGGCCGAGGAGACGAGCACCGGGGCCGAGGGGAAGAGCACCAGGGCCCAGGGGCTAAGCACAGTGACCTGATACCTGACAATACCCAAAGGCTGGGGAGAGAGTCCAGAGCGGAAGGTGCTCACCTTGCTGGGAAGGGAAAAGGGTAATAAAGGCAAGAGAATAATTAGGAGCTCTTGGGGAAAAGAGTTTTCCTCATAGGCTCCAACAGACATAAGTGCTGGGAGGGAGCACTTCATGCAGTGCGCAGAAGAAAAAACATTTGGAGGGAAAAGTGAGCTCAAATGCAAAGAGATCGGCCCACAGGGAGGCCAACCCGCCCTGCTGGAGTAACAGACTTCCCCAGAAGTGGACATAGGGAGCAGAGGAGAAAAGAGGCAGGCAGGGCCAGCCTGCGTTGGAAAGCTCCCTGTCTACGTTTCATTTTTCGGGTCAACGGAAAAGAAAAAGTATCTTTAGTATCTTGTCTGGATACTAAAATTCCATTAACTGAAGATTCACTGTCCTTCGGAAGCTCCCCCTGTGTTTCAAACAGGAATTCCTTTCTACTCCAGAACGCCCATTCTGGAAGCACTCAAGAAGGCTTCACTAATGAGTCAGAAAGAACAGGATAGATATAGAAAGATTGCATTCATCTGGGGAACATAAAGTAACAAAATGGGAGACTAACACCCAGGAGTGGCCGAAATTAGTACCAGGAATTTTGCTCCATGACTTGGAGGCCAGCCACATGTGCTAGGGGAAAAGGCAGCTCAGATAGAGAAGGGAGCACCAAATAAAGGGTGTTGGGAGGATCCTCCCAGGATGGGAGAAGCATGCTGAAAGTAGACTATAGACCGAACATGACTGCCACTCAATGCCTCTTTTGCAAACCACAACACCCAAAAGGAGAGAGAGAACAAAAGGGAATGCCCTGCCACAGAGGCAGGGTGGGATGGGGGGTGGGAGGGATGCTGGGACCCATGGTGGTGGAAGATGGGCGCTGGTGGAGGGATGGGTACTTGGTCATTGTATAACTGAAACCCAAGCACAAAAATTTGTAAGTCTATAACTGTACCTCATGGTGTTTCACTAATAACAAATTAATTAATTAATTAATAAAGAAGGCTTCACCATGAAAGTGGAGAAGGCAAAGGTGCAAGAAGGACGGGGGAGTAACTGTTGGGAAGTTGAGATGTCGGTCTGGGGCTCAGGGAAAGATGACGATGACCGTAACCTGGCATGCGACTGAAGCAACCACAACAATGAGGAGTGAACGAGACATATTTTGAAGACAGAATCTTTGGAAGAGAACTCCCGTATGGGTTAGATCTGCGGAGAGGAAGAGACGGTACAGCAGGGAGAGCGCTAACCTTGCACACCACCAACCTGGGTTTAATCCGCAGCATCTCAGACGAAACCTCCGAGTGCCACAGAGAATAACTCCTGAGGGCAGAGCCAGGAGTCATTGTCACTGTCACTGTCCTCTGTTTATTGATTTGCTCGAGCGGGCCCAGTAACATCTCTGTTGTGACACTTGTTACTGTGTTTGGCATATTGAATACGTCACGGGGAGCTTCCCAGGCTTTGCTGTACGGGCTCATTACTCTCGGTAGCTTGCTGGGCTCTCTGAGAGGGGCGAAGGAATTGAACCCGGCTCAGCTGGGCTGGCTGCGTGCAAGGCAAATGCCCTACCCGCGGTGCTATTGCTCCAGCCCAGAGCCAGGAGTAAAGGGGGGAAAAAAGAAGGATTGGGGCCCAAGCATCAGGGGTGAGTGGTAGGATTTATTGAGAGGAGGAAGATTTGGAAAGAAGCCAACTTGGAAATGAGAGAATCAATGGTTCTGCCTTGACCATGCCTATGGGTGCTAGGAGGCGAGTTGTCCCTGTCACTTATTTGCATATGGGGGCCCAAAACCCAGCAAGTCTTTCAGGCTGGAGACACACACAAAGGGAAGAGTCCACACCCTGTGGAAGAGGCAAACTGATGTGATGAATGAGATCACCAAAAACAACTTCCAGAAGTCAAAAAGAGAAAGGAAGAAGAGGAAGTTAGAACAACTCAAAGATGAACAGAAAAGCAAATGGGAAAAGAACAAAGGAGAAAGAACTAGAACCTGGTATTGGAAGTCTTAAGAAGAGTTAGAAGAATGTGTCTGTTTGATGGCAGTGCTGTTTGCAAACGAGGAAGATGATGCCCAAAAGTTTCATCTTCCTTCCTTAATTTCGAATATTTGCTTCTTCGAGGGTCAACCACCATTACCCTGCATAAAGGGACACTGTCACTCAGTGCAATTTTCACTACATTACCCTGGGCAGATGGTTTGGATACTAAAATTCCATTAACTGAAGATTCACTGTCCTCTCTACAATGGTTCTTCAAGCGGGTTGCAACGTTGCAATCATATTCTTACCAAGCTTCGCGTGTATCCCAATTTCAAATACCAACGTGGAGAAGGGTAGGGGTGTGGGTACTAGATGATCTGAAAATGAAGAATTGGGCTAGCCTGGCATAACTAGGAACGCCATCAATCAAGAAATCCCCATTAGGGGCCAGAGTGATAGCACAGTGGGAAGGATGTTTGCCTTGCATGTGGACAACTCAGGTTTGATGCTTATGGCCCATATGGTATGGTCCTCCAAGTGCTGCCAGAAGTGACCCCTGAGCACAGAGCCAGGAGTATCGCTGGCTGCACCCCAAAACAAAAACAAACAACAGCAGCTATTACTTACCATGCTCCATTATGACAAACACTACTGCAACGAATGGCATTGTGTGTCTCACTCTATACTTTTCCCACATTATCTCCAGAGAAGATCCAACAAAGTGAGATTGTTGGGTCAAAAGATAAATTCACGTGTAACTGTATTAAATGCTGCCCAGTTCTCCTCCATAAGGAAGGTACTCGGAGCAGTTTATGAAATAAGTGTCACCCAGGTCGTGTTCTAGTGAACCTTTGTGCTTTTGCCAATGGGGTTGGATCCCAGTCAAGGTGTGCATATGCATTTTTTTCATATGATTAAACTGAGCTTCATGTCGAAGGTGCCAAGTGAAAGTTCTTTTCTTTTGGTTTACTTACTGTATACTCATGCCTTTGGTTAACTTTTCTAACAGAACTTTTCATCCCAAGTGATAACTGACTGATATAAAAAAAAATAAATAAAACACAAAGACAGGAGAGATGAATCTGTGCAATCAGAGCTACAATATTTTCTCAGTTGATTTTCTGGGGTTTCATCATGCCTTATTTCTAGGGTACTGCATCTATCAACCTCTTCTCATTTTGAATTTTGAGTCACAGTTAAATTCTCCACTCTGAGATTACTAAGGCATTCACCCATTTTCTTCTAACAAATACATGGTTATTCATTTAGATCTCTGACATATTAAAACCTTATCACAATGCGGTCGACCTGGGTTCAATTCCTCCACCTCTCTCGGAGAGCCTGGCAAGCTACC